TTACTTAGAACAGGTTTCTGGCTTCCTCTATAAAAACCAGAATCAGTTTCACACGTGTTGCTATTAGTGCATTGGCAACATGTTGGATCTGTGAAAACAAAACATGATTTGGCCCGGGGTGTTGAATGAAAAGTGTGTGCAACCTTGAGTTCATTTACAGGGAAGTCATCCCCACTGCAACTGTGGGACTTACTTCTGAGTAAATGCACATAGATTTGTGCTGCACATAAACTGCTGGTCTAGAGCAGGGTGAATACGACATAGTTTAACTCTCTTTCCCACCAGTCCCAATGCATAGTTTTGCTGTGATCACCAGTGCTTATTCAGCAGGGATGTGGGAAAATGGCGAATTTCCTTGGGGCTTCCTAGTGCTGACAGAATTGATATAAGCGTTTACCAGCCCTTCTTAATCCGGAGAAGGGTCTCCGAATCTTCCGAGTCAAGAGGCACACCTGGAATGCCGAGGGACTGTTGTGGTCACTCACACAGAAAAGCTTCCCCAGCGGACAAGGTGAGCACGTCTTTCCCAGAAAGCAAACCGGCAGACTAAAGGAAAAACTTGCCCAGGAGGCCAACATGAGGCAGACTTCCAAAATATGCAGTCACCCAAATAAAGATGGCATTGTGTGGGATGTGGGAAGCAGCAACACTTCGCTTGGCAGCAAGACCATATCCCTTTTAAAAATTGCAGGGAAGGGATGGAAAGCAAAGTAAGGGAATCCAGGAGAGGCTTTGTGGTGGGCACGAAGAGAGGTGTCCTATTGTGTAGCAAAAGAGGGTTCCGGGTTTGAGGGACATCAGAAGCTGCATAAAACTGAGTCAGACCTTTCATCCTTCTACTCCAGTGTGGTTGACACTGACAGACAGAATCTCTCTTGGATCTGAAGGAGGGTTTTTTCCTTCCTCCGCCTGGAGAAAGTGGGGGTTGAGCCAGTGCAGGGCTCAGTTCATGGGGGAGAAATGTTTGAAGAAAAATCCTGGTTTTTGGTACATTTCAGGTCAACTGTTAGGATAGCCATTCATATGTTAGCCATGTTTTTTAAGGGCAAAGGGGGATGCTCATTTGATTTCTCTGCAGGTGTTGATTTCTCTGCACAGGTGCGCATTTGGAAATCATGTGAAATACATCTCACCATGACCTGTCGGCCAAAACCATCTACTGTTCAGGTGATCACGGCTGATAGGCCAACACAAAGCCCTGTGCTCCTATGGCTCCTTATATTTAAACTGGGCTTGGACTGCACTGCCATTCAAGCAGAGAGTGAGGAAGAACAGCCGTTGCCCATGACGTGATTCAGAAGCATGACTTACAGAAGCTACACTACAGATTCCCAGGCAGTTCTCCTCCCTGCAATGTTGGAATGTTCAGGAATATTCCGTGTGCTGCCTTTTCATTTGCATCACCAGCAGAAACAACAGGCAAAAATGGAGATAGAGACAGGAAATCGAAACCACTTGCAATGACTTGCCAAAATAGAAGACTCCCAGTCCTAAGATGCTGATAATTCCAGACAAGCTATGCAACGTTGCACAAGCCAGTTTCAAGATACACTGTGCATCACAATTCCATGCCCCTTTTGACTAGCCTCTCTGAATAAAATGCCACATTGTTTCCCAGTTTGTGCACCCAGCCAATTCTTTGTGACATGAGCTCAGGGAAAAGGATCCAGCAGCTTGCTGTGGATCTATGGACAGAGGGAGAGTTTTCTGACCCTAAAACTCACATCTATGGTGACAGATCCAGAAGGAGCTTGGATCCTCTCCCACCCTGTGCCGATGGCCTGGCTCATGAAAACTACTCTGCTGAGCAATGGTTTGACTTTCTGTGCTGAGCAACCTTCCGCATGAACACCTTAGGGAGGATATCTCTGAATGACTACCTAGAACATCAACCCTTTTCAAGAAGTTCTAGAACAGAAGTAGGCCATGGGGGAAAGGAATGCCATCTTATTTATTCATTTATTTATTTTTCCAAAAATGGACTTTGAATAACTACATCATGATATAGCATCATTCTAACTAACAGATTAAAGAGAACAATCATTTCTGTACAAGTGGGTCAGTCTAGATGACCCAGGAGACCCCTTCTGACTTGCTCTGTTTCTATGTTTCTAAGTAAAGTGTAAAGAGCCAAAGAAAGGCAGAGACTGCTCTCCACCATTACTAGTAACGCCTCTGCCTCTGAACATTTTAAAACTTTCAGCATCTCCCTGACAAAGTACTGGTTTCAGTTCCTACTTAGTCCTACCTGCTCTGCTCCAATTTCCCCGACATCTTTGAAAAACTTAAAATGGAAAGGTTTGGAACTGTGCTTATGATAGGATATGCAAATCCAAAAACTGGATTTCTAGAATGGAGGCACCAATGACGCAGATACTTTGAAATATAGTCTCAAGCAGCTAAAACTTTCTGCAGGAAGTGACTGGTAGAAAAAAAAAGACTAACGTGTTCATGAAAGCTGTTTATAACTTCAGACTTGTTTAATCAAATATTCATTCAAGCAACACAGGTTTGAGCCTCCAGTGAGACTGCCAGCAAAGTACCAACGCTTGAAAAAAGAACACAGATAAAGTGTGAGGATTTAATCTTCACCAGCCGGGCAGAAGCACTTGACACTGCTCATTAGTGAGAAATTAAAACAAAAGGAGGTGAGGCAGTTGATTGCCATAATGGGAGGCTTTAGTCAATTGCATCAGTTCCAGTTTCCCGAAAACACGGATTTGTACATAAACACAAGCCCATCACAGCTTGCAAACAGCTGAGAGCGGCACTCAAAGGACTTCTGTCGCCACTTTTTCATGAGAAAAAGATACACACACCCCATAAAGATCGAGTTGAAGCTCCCTTTGCAGGAAGGACCACACAGGTCAGGGCATATCCGAATTATTTTGCCCACATGGGTGCCGCAGACACACCAGCATCCTTGGCCTAAGGATGCTAAGCACAACGTCACAGGTGCTAAGCACAACGCCATAGACATCGAAGGGGGAAAGACTGAACTTGTTCTTCCACGAGCATGAGCGCAACCAAGAGGGAGAAGCTGCTGAGTGTGCACAAAACGGGTCGAGTGACATAGGACTCACTTGAGAAGCTGCTTTCTCCAGGATAGAGATATTTCTAATAAGTATGCTGGTGTAATATACTCCCCAGGGTTCATAATATACACCCCAGGGTTCATAAGGTGTGTTTCCCTTTTCAGTCCTTTTCGATGCAGCTGTGGATTTATAGGTACAGATGGGCCAGCAGAGATCCCCCAGGTCTATCAGCCTTACACCCCACACCCCTCTTGCGGAAAACAACGATGTCACCACTGGCACATGTCACAATGTGTGTGGGCAGAGTTTGGCCTCGGGGGTCAGCTTTGAATAAAGTTGGAGAGGTTGTCAGAAAGATCACCTCATTCCATATATACCTACTTGGACCCTAAGGTCCTCCTCAGGGGCCCTCCTCCAGGAGCCCTTTCCAAATGGAGTGGGGCAGGTGGTTACCAAGAGGGGGCCTTTTTGGCTGCGGCACCCCGGTTGTGGGATGAGCTCGCCAAAGAAATGTGCCTGGCGCCTACTTTGTTCTCAGCATCAGCTGAAGACCCTTTCATTTTCCCAGCATTTTAACAGTTTAATTTTTTAACTTCATCTGTAATATTGCACTTTATTCTGTACGCAGGAGTTGCCAGACTTGCTTAATGCAAGAACTATATACAGTAAATGCCAGATGTCTGAGATCCTCTAGCAGGTGCCCATGGGCGGCGGCAGTGGGCAACAAGTGGCAAGCCACAGAGTGAACGCAAAGAGCCACACGTGGCTCCTGAGTCTCAGTTTGGCCACCCCTGTTCTGTACTATTGCCATTTTTTTATGCTGGTTCAACTGTAACTGCTATTGTGGTTGGGTTCTTTTAAGTTCATTTGATCTTGTATGCGTGTTTTAATTTTTTTCCTAACTTCTGTTAACCACCCAGAGAGCCTCAGCATAAAAGTACAGTATAAAAATGAAATAAATAAAATTTGACACTGGAAGCAAGTTTGAAAACCCAGAACGAAAAACACAGACATTTCCTCTACACACACTTCCATCAGCATCTGTCTGCATCCAAAACGTGTAAGCTGAAAACACGTACATGAACGCATGCATCACAAAATTGCACACCTATTCAGTACAGAATTCTCTCCTTCGAAAGAACAAGCTTGTGAAGATTGACGGTCTTGGCAAGACTGAGAATGAGAGGACCGTCTATCCCTAACCTATGAATACAGACCCATGGTTGAAGTGCCGCAGAATCAGGCATGGGTTCTTACAAACAGAGCGTGCAAGATAATTGTCGCCTGGCCATGTCACCGTCTGACTAATACTGTCCAAGGTGCCGCCAGCCAGCCACCTCTCCAAGCAGGCAATCCGCCCTTTTCTCCCACCGTTTTCACTTTCCTTTCACAGCAGACACTCAAAATCCTGCAGCTAGTAAGCATGTATCCCTCACCTGGTTGCATGTGAGGGAGGGAGCTGGTGAGGGGGCGACCCCTTGGGAAAAAACAAGTTGTACTTCTGCAAAATTTGAGGTTCCCCCGAGGATGCCAACACCTCCTCACTGAGCTCCATTTCTGTTGGCAATGGAGTTGAATTTAGAGGGAAAGCATACGAGATGAAGAATCCCTCTCACCAGGCTAAGGAAGTTGAACCCTGCCAGACTGAGCGCCTTCTCCCCACCCTTCCTCACCCTAGTAGCCACCTCTGGATTGTGGCCATTTACCTCCTTGGCCACTGCTCGCCTCTTGCTTCCCGTCTGCCTAATGCTACACTCCCTGATGAATGTGTGTTTGCTGACGCATAGCCCACAAAAAGGCCGAGGTGACTGCTGCACTGGGTACCCATCACGTGACAGGCGTTCCGATCCGTTCCAGCCCAACTGCAGGTTCAAGACCCGGATCCTCAACTCACATGCCCGTGCCCCTCTTCTAGCTATGGGGCTGCACTGCAAGCTAGTGAGCCTAGCAACGGAAGTCACCCACCTGGGGCAGCATGCGATTTTCCTCCTCCAGCTGTCTTACTCTTGCCTCCAGCTGCCTAACATAGGACAAGGTTGGTTCTAAAATTCAAGAAAGACAAAAGAAAAAAAAGCTTGTATTACAAACACGAGTCTGCTTTGGCACCCCTGAGGGCAGAGCTGCAGGTGAATTCTGGCAGGGGGTCTCTCAGCAGGAACTATGAACTCCGGTTATCTGGTAAATGCAACGACTTCCAAGCACCGGCTGGGACCAGAAGCCATCCTGCCTCAGGATCAGAGCAGCTTGGTGGGTGCAGGTGTTACACAGAATCTAAACTATTGCACCAAAGGGACAGTCTGAAAGTTATTCCCCCACCCCTCTGGGTTATGCCGCGTTGAAAGAGGCGTCGAGGAATCTTTACGCCCCCCCCCCCAAATGTGTCAAATGAGGGGGAAACTGGTGTGGGCGCGGGGAGGCAGTGAGGCGACGGGCGCATGCGTGCGGCAGCAGCTTGCTCGCTCGCTCACTCGGAGATCGGTAAGAAAAGTGGGGGGCGTCCTATACGTGGAGGCGTCTTATAGCTGGAAAAATACAGTAATTTATATCCTGCCTTTCCTCTGAAATCATCATCATCCTCGTCACCACATTATGTTGTTCCTATGGCTTGCCTTTCTGCCTCCTGCAGGGTTCTCGTGGCAGCTTACAAGGTTCCTCTCCATTTATCCTCACAACAACATCCCTGTGAGGTAGGTTAGGCTGAGTCTGTGACTGGCCCTAATTTGCTCAGTGATATGGCCGAGTGAAAAGCAGCTGGGGATAAATTCTGAAAGTATGACCCTGAAACCCAGCTCTGCAGGTCGAGGGTGACTGAGGCTTGAGAGTTCTCAGATGAAAAAGGCTACTGCAGGGTGAATGCCCAAGAATTACGCTTCATTTACTGGCACTGAAAGGCACTCTGCACATGCTTGGAGGCAGTTCCATCAAGAATCTTGTTGTCATATGAATTAAACATATGAAGAGCCACGCTGGATCAGAGTAGTAGTCCATCTAGCCCACCTCCTGGCCACCTGGCTGCCCACACGGCCTCAAAGCAGGACCCCGGCACCCTCCTACCCAGGCTCCCCAGCAACTGGTGTGCATGAGCAGACTGCCTCTGTACGGCTCAAGTGTGGGCTCCGGAAATAAGCTTGGGAACCGCACTGCTCATTCTCCGTAATGATTCCCTGCCTGCAACACGAGGAGGAAACAGACCCTTCACTGCAAATGTTACACTGAATGTGTGGGCGTGAGAAGCACTTACTGGGGAATGGGAATCAGCCGCATCACTGAAGCCGCTGCTGGCCGGATCTGCTAAGGGACAGTCCATATATGCTGTCAATGTAGAAGGAGGAGGAGGAAAGGGGTGCCAGGGAAGCAGCTCAGCAATGAGGCATTAACAAGGCGAGGGACGGGATGGCAGGATCCTGCAGCCCCGCCGTGCTCAGCCGCTCAGCAGCTGCAGCTCAGGAAAGCACGCTCTAGTGACTCTCTTGCAGAGCTCCCCGGGGCAGCATCTTCTTCGTCACTGGACCACAATTGCAGAAGGCACTCGCCACTTTCTAAAAGCTGCAGAGAACCACAGGAGGTTGCAGCTCATTCTGGGAGGCCTCTGCTTGCTTGCTTGCTTCCTCACTCACTCACTCTCTTGCTCTGACCCACTGTCTTTATGGACGTAGGTAATTTCTACATCAAAACTTTTTCAGTGGGGGAGGTCACATTTATCAAGCAACAGCAAGATAAAGATCATATAAAACCTTTACATTTCAAAACTAGGGCAAAAGCCAGCATCGCCAGCTCATCCAAAAACACAATAATTCTCCTTTTAAAACAAACTGAAGCTCTAAAAATTCCTAGGGGTATTACAAAAAATCTTCCCTTGCTATTGAAAAAGAAAAAATCCCACAATGTAGATGCCAGGTGAGCTTAGCTGGGGAGAGCATTCCACAACCAGGGTGCCACCACCAAGAAGGCCCTCTCCTTAGCAGCCACCAGCTCATCTCACTTGGTAGGAAGACCTCCCCTCATGTTTTCTACGCACAGAACTGGCAGAGCGACTGGCATGCCCTGGGTCCCATCCATACATGTGCACAGCTTGCATCCAGAGAAATAGAAATTGCATCCACATGACACCTGTTCATACACCTGATACCTGCAGAAAGATGACAGGCCATTGGTACTCCTGAGGGTGGGGACAGGAATAAAGCCCAACAGAGCTCATGACCTGACCCTTCTGAGAACTGCAATCCTAACCGAAATGGCAATGGCTGTGTTTATAGAGTAGGCCTGCAGGCAGCAAAGCCACGCGCTCGGTCACCTTAGGAGACCCTGTTTTTGCTGCTGAAATGGCCTACTATTACGTCCAGCTCACCTCACCTGCCAGGCAGCCTATAAAATCAAAATGAACAGGGAGCAGATGAGGTTTCACTCCTTTCTACTGAGGAGCTTGCCGGAGATTAAGTATGGACACGCTCTGGGAGTGCGTGTGAATGGCAAATGGGCAAGCATGCAATCCACTGCTGTTTGTCAGAAATAATTAATACACACTGCACAGTTTCAGACTAAAAATAGGGCCGTGGGACAACACGGACAGAGGTGCTTCAAGGTTTTACGTGCTCTGCTGTGTCAGACAAGCGATGGGTGAATCCACAATGACTTAGAAATTACAGTACACCTTCAACAAAGTTTCACTGCAGAGGTTCTGCTCTTTGGGCCAGTGTAGGGGGCTTAAATGTTGGGAAGAAGGTGTATGGCTTGAGTACTTTCGATTAACAAAAATCTGTTCCATTCAATTTTGCACTTTTGCACAAACCAATGTTTGAAGCCAAACTGGGTTATCATTCAAATTTCAGACTTCTCCTACTTTTGCAATGGAGTTTTCCAATGAAGAAAAGGTGTCCAAAACATATATACTGGGGAAAAGTTTCTCTGAAAGTCATATTGAAATGCACTGTATTAGGAAAATCACTTGCAAGCAAGCCTGTACATTAGGTATAACTGCACACAAATATATGCATATTCACAAAATTACATGTACATTTGCAAGCAAACTTTTAGAGAAACTTCCAAGCATAGGATGAACCACACAAAAAACTGGAAAACTTAAAAAAAAAACAGAAGAGGCAGACTGAATTGTCCCCACTTTGGATACCTGAAGCCAGGACCAAGTCCAGACCTGAAGAGGGCCTTGGGATGAAGCCATCTGGTATCCATAATGGACTGTCACCCACTCCTAACTGACCTAGCTTTGGAGGGGTGGCAGCTGAAACCATGGTGGCATGAGCAGAAACAGAATTTATTCCAAAAATGACAAGAAGCTGCTACTGTCACAGTGGAACATTATGTCCATTTACAATGGCAGTTGGCTGGAATTCATCAGAGCACTGAAAAAGTGGGCACAGGACGGCAGTAGCAAAAGCGCATGCACTCCACATGCGACTGAAAACGCCATCTGCTGATGCCAGGCCTGCCTACTGCACGGACCAACCTACTGTGGTCCCCGCTGAGGTGGAAGTAGCTCGTGCACGAGGAGGGCCAAACGTTTTCCCAGGTTAAAGTTTAGGCAGCTTCCACATGGGCATCCGAAGAGACCTCCCATTGCAGAACTCTTGTTGACCAGTGCCCTGTGTATGCAAAAAATAATGTATCAAGTGAGATTGGGTTCCATTCATGGAAACAAATGAATGGAATCTTATTAATAGAATCTACAACGACCGAGGAAAGGCACGGATCTTATTAAAAACCTCCTGCTCCCTCTAAAATTCCCACCTATTTAAAGGAAGAACACAGACGTCACTTCAAATTTGCCTTGAAAGTTGGGCTGAAAAAGTCCTTTTGTCATCCAAGACATTTTGCAGATCGTAAAGAAATTATAATTTTCCTTGAAAATTCCAGCAGATGTTGCTGCTCAGACGATCTGGGTTCGAGTCCCCGCTCAGCCATGGAGCCAACTGGGTGACTTTGGGCCAGTCACGGACTCAGCCCAACCTACCCCACAGGGTTGTTGTTGTGGGGATAAGATGGAGGAGGAGAATGATGTAAGCTGCCTTGAGCCCTTTGTAGGAAAAAGGCAGGATATAAATCAAGAACTAAATAAATAAATAAATAAATATTTTATTTAAGAAAGACCCCTCCACATTTTTTTCAAATTGCACTGCAGGTCACTGGTTGGTGGCAACACCATCTAAGTCTGCCCCTCTTGTCCTTTCATCATTGGCCGCATGATGGTGAGAGAGAATTTTGACCCAAGCCAAGATGAAGCCAATTTGGAGGCTGCAAGGAAAGAACATCCGGAGTGTGTTGGCCAAAACACGGCTAGGAGGGGCAAGTGAAGAGAAAGCAGAGAAACACGCAAACATGAATGGGCTGGATCCAAACTGGGTGCATGAAGCGGGGCTGGTGGAAGCAAATGGAAAGACTAGGCCCACTCTTCCCACAAAAGAGCATTCAAAGGATGTGAGAACAGATTTTGGTCAGAGGAGAAGGAAAGTTAGGATTTGCAACTGAAATGCTAAGGCCAAAGGATAAGCTTGGCAGTCCTAGAGAACCAGTCAGTCCAAAAATGGTGGAAAGGTTTGGTGACCGTGCTCATGCAGAGGAGAGCAAACCTGCTATCAGTAATCCAGGGTACAGCATCAGGTAAAGACGGCAGAGCAGCTTAGAAGTGTCAACTGCTCCAAGAAACTGGTCGTCAGGAAGGAGACTCTGCCTTAAAGGCACGCTTTGGTCATTTCTGTTTGGAAGGCAGAAGTAGCCCAGATGGAGCAGTCCTCCTCATGACTTGTAAAGCCAGCCTGGCTGGTAGCCATTAACAAAACAGAGTCTTCCAGTTCGAAAGCCACTGCCCCAATCTGTTTGGAAGGCTCCTTATCCTCAGTTTCCCCTATGTCAATGGGGTTCCAGGCTCCTCTAATAATACTTGAATATAAAGACCATGGTCAGCCACTGTGCTGAGAACCTCTCAGTTTCTTATTTACTTTCATTCACTTGCGCTGAATCCACAAGATAGGTGGGATGTAATAACGAATGATGAATGAAGACACTGTATACTGCAAAGCCCAAGAGA